GTTCCCGACGCTACCAAAGCTCCAGAAACTCGACTTGTGGGCAGTGACCATGACGAGCGACGCCTTTGCAAGTTTGTCGGCACAGCTCATAGCTTCCGACTCGCTCCTCTCGCTCAACCTCGCTGACGCGGCATTACCCAAGGACCAGCTTGAAACGATCTTGTTCGCACTGCCACGCATGCTTAGCCGCCAGAGACAAGCGTGCTTCGTGGGCCTTCCCGTTTCGATCGAGACCGAGATGCTTGTGACCGCTGTGTTTTTCCTCGTGCGAAACACACAGTATGTGTGGCTGGACCTAACGGCCGACGACTCGTTCGACCTGGCCATGTCCCAGCGCCTCTTGACAGCCTTTCGTGCAACGTCGCGCATGCGATTGGGCTTTTTCGGCAAGGATGCGCCAGTAGTCCACGAGGAAGACGTCACACGCTACGCAGCGTTGTACGGCATCGAGTGCGCAAATTGGTGGTACAGGTCGCCACGCCGCATGCCGTGGCTCGCGCTGACGTAGTCGAACGAAATCGTATTTGGTGTTTTCAAGTTCCTCGTGTCGTTTTTGTTTGAGGCGGGATGGTGGACAAAAGAGTCGGTGGTTGAGAAAGCCAAGGTTGAATATTTGTTGTTTCGCGTGCTCAGAGGCCGACAATGGCGTGGGGTCTGTAGTACCGCCCAGCCTCGGGCAAATTCTCGAATGATAAGGTCTTTTTTGTTAGATTTTGCCGTGAATCAATCCGTGATGCAGTGACGCTCGCTCCATGCAAATACTCCCGATAACCTCCGGCTGCCACGTCATGTATCAATTATAGCCAATCAGAAGCGCCGCATCCTGCAGTATCCGGAAGCCGTCCGCAAAATTCCAATTCCATTTGCGGCCCAGCATGACCATGACCGAGTCGAAGCGCGCCAAGACCGCCATGACCGAGTCGAAGCGCGCCAAGGCGAACACAGGACGATGGCTGCTGCCGCCGATCGTCCTCCAGGTCGTCCACTACCTCGATGAAGCTAGCGACGTCTTGGCCTGTCTACATGCGGTGCCAAGTGACGCTCGGGACGAGGCTCTCGATGCGCTTGTGACGCTTCTGGCACAGGACGGCTTCCTGTGGCCGGTGGCGGAAGTGGACGCCTTGGCAAAGATGGACAAGGTGTCTGTGCTCAAGGCGCTACCAGCATTCTGCAAGCTTGTGGTCAACGAGGACTGCCCTCGAGTCGGCGATTTTTGCCGCTGCACGCCGCTTCCGCCAACCGCCAATGTCTGCGCAGCTGTCGACAACGTGCACGATCTCGAATCCAAGCTTGGCAGCTGGGTGCCAAGCATTGTGCGCCTCGTTTTCAGCGCCGAGTCCATTTCGCTCGACAGGCACGACCTTGCCCGCGCCCTTGCTGCGTGTACGAAGCTCCAGGAGCTCTACATCGATTGGAACGATGCCGTTGATCAAGCGCAGCTGAACGACGTCATGGCGGCCGTCGCTGCATCGTGCCCGCGCCTTGCCCATTTGCGCGTCTTTTCCAAGACGGTTGTGCGTCTACAGTGCTGCAAAAGCCTCGTCGCGTGGCTGTCTCTACCGCATGCTCGCGTGTTCAAGCTCTTCGGCATCGACTTTGCGCCGCCCGCCGCCAAGACCTTGGCACACACTCTTTTCACGTCAACGACGCTTCGAACGATCAAGCTGCTTGGCGCTTCAAACGTCCTTGAAGCGTTTTTGAATCCGAGCTACCCGCCACTGCCCCGACAACTGCGCAACGTGGTGCTCGATTTTGGCTCGATCTCAGTCGATGCACCGACACTTGTAGCCAAGCTTTCACCCACAATTATTCACAGCTTGGACCTTCGCTTTGTTGAGACCCGCGACATCTCGCCCATCATGGCCACGTTGCCCCGGACGCTGAGAAAGCTCTGCCTC